ACACACACATACTATATATATATTCTAGATTATATATGTATTACTTATATATGTACTATTATATATGCTTAATTATATATGATATATACTAATAATATATATATATACATAGTACTATATATATATATATATATATATATACATATATATATATTTATATATATATTTATATATATACATATATATATATTATATATATATTTATATATATATATACATATATATATATATATATTTATATATATATATATATACACATATACATGCATGTAGATGTATGCATATATATGTATATATGTATATATGCACATAGACATATATACACATATAGACATACATATAAGACGTATATGTAGATATTTGAGTATATATTATTGTCCATATGTTAGTTTTATGTTTGCTCCTTTAAAAATGAGTTTGCTTCTTGCTTAAAGCAATGTTCGAGCGGAAAATAATTTTGACATTCATTTCTCTTTAACACTTGTTGTTGGACAGGCCAAGTTCGTCCCTGATGCCAAGTTCACCACCGCGTCTGATTGTGAGGTCATTGCTCACATGTACGCCAAGATGGGCGCACAATGTGTTCAGTACCTCGATGGCATGTTCGCTTTCGTAGTGTCGTGCGAGTCCACCGGAGAGTTCATTGCCGCTCGTGACCCAATTGGAATTTGCCCTCTGTACTACGGACGCAGTGGTGATGGTGCTATGTGGTTCTCCTCCGAGATGAAGGTATGTCTAACTTGTGATATAAGTGTATATGTCCATGAGTCTTTATCTACGAGCTGTATATTTTTCACGCTTTTGACTTGTCTGTGTATTATAGTTGTACATTATTCTACGTAGTAGAAAACCTGTATCGGGAGAATAGCCACGAGAACCGTAGTTTATCCCCAATTAGTGTAATACACCACATGCATGTTAGACATTTGAGTGTATATTATACTATATCTATATTAAAATTGTATTTTGGTAGTTCGTCAGATATGATGCGGCCCAACTTCATAAAAACACGGGCTAATACAATTTCAAATATTTATTCATCTCACCGGCGAAGTTTTTCAATCTATTTTTTCTGCACACAGTCATTGCACGATGAGTGTGTGAGCTTTGAATCATTCCCTCCCGGACACTACTACGATTCTAAGTCAGACGAATTCGTAGCCTACTACAAACCCAAGTTCTGGGACCTAGACTGGTGTCCCGAACCCAGCGAAACTCCCGAGATGCCCCCACTTGAGCAGCTTCGTGAAGCATTCGAAGCAGCCGTTGAGAAGCGACTCATGTCTGATGTCCCTTACGGTGTGCTATTGTCCGGCGGATTAGATTCTTCACTGGTGGCCTCGGTCGCGTCGCGCAAGATTGCCGCACGTCAGGCAGAGGCGAGCGATTCACACGACACGCGTGTGATGACCACCGGTCTGCACTCGTTCTCTGTGGGACTTGTGGGATCACCCGATCTGATTGCGGCGAAGAAGGTGTCAGAGTTCCTGAAGACCAAGCATCACGAGTTCACATTCACGATCCAGGACGGTATTGACGCGCTCAGGGATGTGGTCTACCACTTAGAGACATACGATGTGACGTCTATCCGTGCGTCTACACCCATGTACTTGATGTCGCGTAAGATCAAAGCTCTGGGTGTGAAGATGGTGCTGTCGGGCGAGGGAGCCGACGAGATCTTCGGTGGATACCTGTACTTCCACAAGGCGCCTAACAGAGAGGAGTTACACAAGGAGACCGTGCGCAAGCTGCAAGCGCTGCACTTGTACGATTGCAACAGAGCCAACAAGTCTACCGCCAGTTGGGGTGTCGAGGCTCGTGTGCCGTTCTTGGACCAGGACTTCATGAACGTGGCCATGACGCTCGACCCCGCCTTCAAGATCATTGGCGGCAAGGACTGGGATGGACAGAAGAAAATCGAGAAGTGGGTTATGCGCAAGGCGTTCGATACCAAGGAGAACCCTTACCTACCCGAGGAGGTACTCTGGAGACAGAAGGAACAGTTCAGTGACGGTGTAGGATACGGGTGGATCGATGGGCTACAGGATCATGCTGCTGTGACGGTCAGTGATCAGCAGTTGAAGACAGCGAAGCATCGTTTCCCACACAATACCCCTGGAACCAAGGAGGCATACTTATACCGCACTATCTTCGAAGGTATGGTTGAGTGTGTGAGTAAATTATTGTAATCGTCATGTATCACATATCGGGAATTTCTATAAGTTCGTATTCATTCCTGCAAGGCGAATTGTGGCCAAGTCATGTTAAACATATTAGTGTTTGTGTTTACGCTTGACGTTGTACCACTGCACACCCAACCAAGCGCATTCCTCATCGTGCTTATCCCAGCACCCAGATATGGTATTCTCAAAATATATCCTCAATTCAAATTTTAAGACTAAACTAACTTATCTTATCCTTTCAAATAAACAGAGCTCTACCCCGAGAAGCCCGCAGCAGAGACTGTCCCCGGAGGACCATCTGTCGCGTGCAGTACCGCCATTGCAGCTGAATGGGATGCTAGTTGGAAGGGCAAGGAAGACCCCAGTGGTCGCGCTGTTGGTGTGCACGAGTCGGCGTACGAGTGATCAGTATAGCATAACTTAGCATGGCATGCCTTCGAATGTAGATACACAGGGTATGTGCAGCATGCTCACATCTCTGAATTTGGGGATTGCATATCTGCGGAACTCAGATGACGTGGGCAAGATGGCCGCGTGAGATGTCTTTTCGAAGGGACTGCATACATGTTAAAAATTATAGAATAGAAAAGTTTGCCGGCGGCAATATAGTTAGTCCTTCCTCTTGTAAATAGCCGTGCCGCTGTGCGACATTGACTGTACGATATTTAAATCGAGTACTGTACTGATTCCTGGGAGTATTCCGGAGATGATTCTATTAACATCAGAGTTTTACCTGATATGTGAAATAAATATAGTATCCGACGAACAACGAACATGTATGTACGTACATTCGTGCACTCCGATATAAAATGAGCATGGCTGATATTGATGATTGCTTATTGCATTGTTTCCATGACGTATACGATGATCACACCGTTAAGGTCAGTGAGGCGTGGGCGCTCATAGAGACTTGAGAATTTATTTATCCATTAATGTCGGCAGTATTAATAATCAGCAACTAGCAGTAGCCAGACCCGTGTTAGGGAGAAATTTCAATCTGTCGGCTTTGATGGCTTTGAAGGCATTTAAAAAATAGTCTTGAAGGTGTTCTGTGGCGCCTATACGATGATTTCTCAGTTCTGAGGAGCGGTTGTTTTCCGGCCTCAGAAGACTTTGATATGTTTAGACGACAGCTCCGTTCACAGAAGCATTAGACCCGGTTCCTCCTCCTTCTTTTGCGCTATGTAGTCCGACTGCGCATATAGTAGAAACAATATTAGTCTGCAATCGATAAGAGGAGTTCTTAGCTCAGCCCTTGGCGCAAGCTTGTTTCCTACAGCGTTTGCTATTCGCTACAACCATTAAAACGGCTTTGAGCAGAATTCAATCTGCTGTCGGGAAGTGCAGTCTCCAGCTCCACCTTTCGCGCGGGATAGCTGCCTAAGACTTTCTGCTATTGTCTACACCAATGAAAATGGTATTTAAAAATTAAACTATTCGAATCCCAAATGTTTACGCAAGTGCATGTTATTTTAGCGCGGAGACTGGGTGCCATGCGTGCAGATGACTTGTGCGCTAGAGCATATATATTTTAACACAGGGATAAGGGACAACAATGCTACACTAGTCGTATATGTTGCTACTGCGGTGAAGGTGATTCAATTCGCAAACGTGCGCAAGTCGAACTTTGGAAATTGCAGGATGAACGCATTGCCACAGACTACTTCAATGCATGTTACAACCTTTCGCGCGGGCTCAGCTGTGAGATAGATGATGCTCAATGTACAGATGCAAGAGTGATGAAGTGCTCACATAATCTCACACGAACATTGCGAAGATTGTCAAAGGAACAGGTGCTCAATACTCGCCCTTCTATTGGTCAAATTACAACCGGAAAGAGAATAGCTCCGTCAACAAACTGTATAAGTGGTAATACAATTTTGAAAGGGAGAGGTAGCGACTAACAAGAATTAAAATATGAGAAGGTACAAATATGCAGATGCGTGTGCGTACGCATTCAAGTACTACCGTAGAACGTCATTTAAACACTCATGACTTGTATTCGCACCCAAAGCACTTACGACGACTCTTTTCCTGCAATCTCCGTATATCTTTTCAAAATCAAAACATGGTTTGAACATGCTTCCCTTCTGTACACACTCCATCATCTGTATGGACAGGATTGATATAGAAATGGACAGTAAATGTTAGTGCTTAATTGAAATACTGAACTACGAGGTACCTAGAGAATATAATACATTGCTTCCCTAAAACACATCGGCGTGAAACTGCATTGGTTGACCAGAAAGTATAAAACAAGATCTATTTCAAAAAGGCACAGCAGAGAACTTCGACAAACAATCTAAAGAAAAACAAAAATTAAATTACAGTCAATTCGGTCTGGAATATGATTGTTGAAATGAACGGACGAACAGAAGTAAATGTAACCCAACCCACAAAGCAGACAATACACACGTATCACCGCGAGTACGCAACTGGTGCGGGTATAGGATGCTTGCATACAGATTAGAACGACATGAATTGCCGACCATGATAGCGACAAATTAGAAAAAAAGCCAATTCAAGATACAAGAATGTAGGGTCTATTGGCGAGAGGCATGTGTCACCTACCCTCGCATAATCCTCGATACACTTGTAGTTGGCCTCCTCGGTGGCTTCATTACGAACTTCCGCAGCTCTTCGCAGAGCGGCCTAGAAACACAAATTTGGACAAGCAGTAAAAACAAGAGTGTTAGCGCTAAGTATTCATGGTGAATTGTTGATACGGGGCCGTGGCGACATATCAACCAATAATATAGTGCGAGTTAATGCGTTTGATTAATACAAAAGTGCTACTGTGCAATTCAGATTTAGTACCGCGGCATCGGCGACGCATGCAAGTGGAAGGCATGTGGTTGATTCCGTTTAGTTTCTAAACAAACATATATGTCAACGTATGTATTTATATTCTCGTCGTGTGTCAACGTTTTCGAAATGTAACCGTACGCGTTCCGTTATGATATTAAACACTCTTCGGATCGTTTGTGTATACCGATATAGTCGCTTTTATCCTCTCAGTACACGCTAGAATATACGCAATCGCTCAAATACATGTGAACGATATTGAACGTTAGCGCAATGTACGTAACACCTGCAATAGATGAATTTAGGGCATCACAAATGGACATGTAGCAGTAAGCACAGAGCATCAAAGCCAGTCCTAGCATCCATCCATACATACATACATGTATTGATGTCTAAAAACATATTTGGGAAGACCTGTAGACAACAAACTGGCCGAAAGGAGTTATGAACCACTAAGATGTACAAAAATATTCAAGCATGCTATATACTAGCCTCCGATTTGACTCGAATCCACAAAATTCTATACAATTAGGAAGGACAGATAAAAAAAAGATTGGGTTTACATGTATCAGGTTAAAAAGTAGCTTATAATATGACTTAGAATAGCGAGATCCTATCTAACTTCAGAAACTGGTATAAAAAAAAACATTGAGTGCATATATATCAGTCAACAAGTAGCCTCTAATTTGAATTGAATTAAAAAAAACAACAAGTACCCATACACAGTCATGCCATAGTGAATCAAGATCCCAACTCCTGGTTGAATAAAGCGAACACATGCTGTTTGATTCATATGTAGGTCTGAATGATACACAAGTAGGTATACAAGCACCTCCTTGTGAATTTACTTCCAAATATTTGCAATGAAACCGATAGTATAGAATACTGCAACATAAATTACATACAAATGAAATAACATAAATACATACTTATATACATACTTAAATACCAATTTGTAATTATGCATATTCAAACACACACACACAAACACACATACACAAACACACACACACACCTATATATATATATACATACATATACATATATATATATATATATATATATATATATATATATATACTANACTATACA